TTTCAAACGTTTCTCCCCATCTGTGTCTTGTCTTTTCATGCTCCTAAAACTGTCACTTGATGAGTAGAAACTTTTCATTTTGATGAAGTCCTATATGTTGCTTTGCAGGGACCTGGTAAGGCAACATCATGGAAGTACAGATTCCCACATATGCATAATCAAAAATAAAATACAGTAAGCTAGATTTCTAAATTTTGGTTCTAAGTCTCCTTGTTGATACTGGTGGATAAGTAGGCAGTAACACTACTCCAAGAGATGCAGACAGCAAAAAACGTACTAGACAGTTTGGAAGGTGAGCTGCCAACAGCTAAAGTGGTGATTCCATCCTTGGCCAGTGTCTCTCTGTGGTCCAGACCACTAGTGCATTAGGTCCTGGTAGAAAAGCCCTCCTTTTGGGGGCTGTCTTCATTCTCCCCAAGATACTCAAAGCTGAGCCAGCATTACCTCCCAATGTGTCAGGTCCAAGACTCCAAATACTGATGGCCCAGTGGGCTAGAAAGTGCAGGCAGTGCTGGTGAGCGGGCACTTAGACTCTGGGGAATGAGGCAGCTTGGTGCAAGCCCCGCTCTCCCCCCCCACTAGCGCAGCCCAGGGCCCTGGATCCACATTCCTACACAGAACGGGCTGATGCCGAGGCTCAGGACACGCTAGATGTGTAGGGAAGGAAGAAATATCCAGAGCTGGGTAATGGAGAACAGGGCTGCAGGTCTCTCTCCACTACACTGATTGGGACCTGTAGCCACACAACAATCTTATTAAAAATTAAAAAAATGTTACTTCAAAACTTTTATAATGTGATCACATGATGAAAGCTTTTGCAGCAGATAAAATCTTGCATTTTAAGACAAATATCCTTTTATTTCTGTTAAGCTGAATATACAATTATTGTTCCCCAGGTGACCAACTTTTGTGTACTACAGTATAATTTCATGTTAATAAAACAAACTGAAAAGTTGAAAAGACAACTTTGTGAAGATCTAATTACAAAAATAAAACAATTTATATTTAAAAAAGAATGTTGACTTAAAAGAATATAGTTTAAGATTACTCTGCAGCTGGTTAGGAAGTCATATACCCTGTTTCCATTTGCCTACTGGTCTCTATTAAATACTTAATATACATAAAATTTACATCTGAAGTCAATTGGTATCTGTGTCATCCCCCTGGAAAAGACAAGAACCTTAGCCTGTCATCATACCCTCTCTGCCATTCCCTTTTGTTATCATCTGTGGTTTTTGTTTTTTTTTTAAGATTTTATTTATTCATTTGACAGAGAGAGACACAGCGAGAGAGGGAACACGAGCAGGGCGAGAGGGAAAGGGAGAAGCAGGCTTCCCGCTGAGCAGGGAGCCCGATGCGGGGCTCGATCCCAAGACCCTGGGATCATGACCTGAGCCGAAGGCAGACGCTTAACGACTGAGCCCCCAGGCGCCCCATCATCTGTGTTTTTAATCCTGTTATCTTCACAATATGCTCAAGAATCATTTTGAACCCTGATGTTTTACTAATGTACTTACTACATTCTCCTATAATCCACACAAGTTATAGTTTCTTTGATTTTTTTCTTTTTTGAGAAAGAGAGAGAATGAGAGCGTGCAAGCGTGGAGGAGGGGTAGAGAGGAGAGAGAATCCCAAGCAGGTTCCATGCCCAGTGTAGAGACTAACATGGGGCTTGACCTCACAACCCAGAGATCATAACCTGAGCCGAAATCAACAGTCAGACATTCAACTGACTTGAGCCACCCAGGCGACCCTCTTTGATTTTTTTAATGGATTATATTTATCATTAATTCAATCAGAGACATTTTAGGGATTACAATCTATGCAAATACTTTCATCTTCCAAATGCCTTTACTTCACTCACAATTGAATGCTAGATTAAAAGGTTATAGAATTACAAGTCCTAAGTCATTTTACTTTAGAAATCTAAGAATATTGCTCCATGCTGTCTTCTAGAATCCAGTGCTGCTGCTGAGAGTCTGATATCAGCCTCTTTGCTTTGCCTGGAATAGTGGGCATTCTTGATGACCCAATATCCATTCAACCCCCTCTTCCTATTTCCCAACAGAATTTGATTTTGTATCCATGTCCACATTGCACCCAACTCCTGAGCAGCAGAGAGGAGGGAAGGAAGAAACTTGTTTTTTTGATGACCTCACTGAACTACTCATTCTGAGGGAGCTAGAGTCCGACCCAAGAATTTCTCATTCTGCCTTTATCATTTAAGACAACTGAAGCAGTCCCATCTTCTATTGTAGCAAGGGACACATAGGTAATCTTTTATTTCATTCTTACATCCTGGTAGCTCCTAGGATTTTCTGTTTATCCTTAAGAGTTCTGAAATTTCATCCAGGATATATTTTTTGTAGGCCTCCCGTGGCCCAACCCCATCATTATGTTCAACACCTTATATTCTATTTAATCTGAAGACCCAAGCCTTCTTCAGCTCGAACATTTCCATAGCTTTATCTGTAATCTATTTGTAATTTTTCTTCCTCTTCATTTCCTGGTTTCTTCTTCTGAATCTATTAGATGGATTTTGGACCTCAGGACACACTGCTGCATGCCCTTCCAAGATTTTCTCTCAATTTCTGGGGGTTTCATGGTATTTTCTAGAGCTGTAGGGGATCTATTCCTTTGAAAATTAAATATGTACGTGTTTTTGTCATTTTAAGGAATATTAAGAGAAAAAAGGAGGCAATCATGTGTACTCAGTCTGTCACTTTATTTATACTTTGTAAATCTCAATGTTATGTTGTTTTGCCAATAACAGTTCATAAGTGTTACTTCTTTATTTTGTATTGCTATTATTTTTATCATGGTAAGTCACATAACACAAAATTTACCATTTTAGCCATTTTTAAGTGTACAGTTCAGGAGTACTAAGTTCATTCACATTGTTCTACAACCATCACACCCATTCATTTCCAGAACTTTTTCATCCAAATTTTTTCAGTTTGGATACTGAAACTCTATACCCATTAAACAATAAATTCTCATTCCCCTCTTCCCCAAACCCCTGGTAACCATTTTTCTACTTTGTCTATGAATCTGACTATTCTAAATACCTCATATAAGTGGAATCACACAATATTTGTCCCCTTTGAGTCTGCCTTATTTTACTTGGCATGTCTTCAAGATCCATCCATGTTGGAGCATGTGTCCGAATTTCTTTCCTTTATACGACTGAATGATTTTCCATTGTACGCACACACCACATTATGTTTATCCACTCATCTGTCCATTGACACTGGCTTGTTTCCATCTTTTGGCTACTGTAAATAATGCTGCTCTTAACATTGTACAAATACCAGCTTAAGTCATCGCTTTCAATCCCATTGGGAATATACCCAGAAGAGGAATTGCTGAATCAAAAACGAGCAGCAGCGAGCGGCGAATTTTCCATATTTTTAAATACATACTCACTTTTCCCAAAAAGGGTGCTCGACAGGACAAGTGGTGAGCGAGGCAGAAAGACGAGGCTTCAGCCTTCTTGGGCTCCCGGCAAGATGGCGTTCTCTAGCCTTACCGCTCTTGGCCCTTCTCGGACACCGTCGGCCGCCGTCCTCCGACGACGTCTGGGAAATAGAGTTCGAAAGGAAAAGTGCGGCGGTTCGGCCGAGGCACCCGAATACCTCTCGTGCGCAGGCGCAGTTGCGCCCGGCGGCCTAGCGGCGGCGGCGAAAAATGTCCCCAGGCTAGGTATCCTGCTTGTCTCCAGTGCGGTCCGCCGCTTGGCGTCTCCGTCGCGGCGGGCACAGGTACAGGCCCCCGGTGAGAGCGGGCCCAGGGTGTGCAGCTCCTGCGGCGGGGCCAGGGCAGAAGGCCGTCCGCTGCGCGAATCCCAGCTGCGGGCGTCGGAGCGGCGGCTGCGGCCTCGGCAGGTGAAGGCGGTCCGGGGAGGGGGCGTTGCCCCGGGAGCTCTCCGCTCCCGCGGTCCCGCAGCCCCGGAAATTGGAGCTGTCACCGCCTGAGCCCCGGGCGCCAGCCTCGGGCAGGGCTCCTGGAGCAGTGGCCCCGGAACTGAGATTGCAGGGAGCTCTGCCTTGTTGGAGGGTTCATGCACCCTGGGGCAGTTTTTGGCTGGTAGCGTTTGTGGGTCTCCCCCCACCCCCACCTCGCCCCGAGTTTCAACTTTATTTTATTGTGTATTAGTTTTTGCTATCCTTGCTATATTGAGCTTGTGTGGCCCTCTTCTCCCAGAGTGAATCCTAGAGTGATTTGACTATTTTTTTTTTTTTTAGGTTAATTTCGTCCTTTTGCCGAGTTACTTCCCTTTTCTCCAAATTTTAAATTCATCTTTAGCCAATGATGCTCTTTCTTTTGAGCCTTGTGGGGTTTTTTTGGAGCAGGGAGAGGATGGGTAATGTTTTTGTTTATATTAAGGAGATTTGATAACTCTTTCTTCATAAAGGAAGCACCATTTCCATGGGGAAGAGAAGACTAATTTTTGGTTGGCTCTTCCTGAAAAGGACACCAATTTCCTTTGTTATGTGAAGAATTATTATAATTATCGTATTATTATACTTTGTTGTCATACGTTATATCTAATTATTTACTATGTTAGGTACAATATAATTATAATTATAGCACAAAATATTTAAGTATAGATGTGCGGAATATTTGTGTTATTTCTCTTTCATTGAGCATCTCTATGAGCACGGCCTGACGGCCCTTTACTCTGTTAGATGTACATCAGATGGTTCTAATTCCTTAGTCTGATTTATCTTTATTCAGAAACCACTGGCTGAAAGGTAGCAGGCCAGTGACTGGAAGTATGCTTGCTGCCCACTCCTGGTTTGGGTGGCCATGCCCACGGACCCTCTAACTCAGGGATGCCTGGGCTCCCAGTTTCCCTCTGGCTTCCATCTGCAGGCGGCTCAGCGTGTGGAGCTCTCTAATTTAGTCAGGCCTCATGAGGGTGGGAGTACAGACAGGATGGACAGACAGACTGCTCAGTTTCTTTCTCCCATTTCAGGTGCCTTCTCCAGGAGGGAGAAATGGCCACAAGGTTGATGCCAGCCCAAGCTCAGGTGAGTGAAGGCTTCTTTCTTCACCTGCCTTCCTGGTTCAGAGATCGTGAACACACTGACGCCATTGTTGAGCTTTACGAGGCAGTGAAGCCCATGGAGGGACCTGAGGGCCTGGTAGGGTAACTCAGGAAAGAAGCTGCTTCTCTCTCTGTTTCTCTTTTTAATATTTTTTATTATGTTCAGCATGTAGTACATCATTAGTTTTCGATGTAGTATTCAAGGATTCATTAGTTGTGATTCTAGCTCTTTTCTTCAAGCATGTGAAGAAATCCAAGTAGTTCTGGATTAGGTCCTGGATTAGGGTTCACTTAGTACAATCCCCTCCAGTTCTATCTATGTTGATGCAAATGGTGGGTATTCATCTTTTCTAATGGCTGAGTAATAATCCATTGTATATATGGACCACATCAAGCTGTTTCCCTAGTGCTTGGGGCTAGTCTCATTGGGAATTCCCCACCTAACAGCTAAGTACTTGTTGATTAGGAATTGAATGTCCCCCCTCCCCAGCCCTGTGCCAAAGCCACACCCAAGGCTCTGTGAGGGATCTAGGTATGTTTTTTTCCCTGTGAAAGCTGGAAACTTGGGGGAATCAGGTAATTCTCTCTGTAACATTAGGAATTCAAAAAGAAAATGTATGGTCTTTACCCTCAAGGAATTGAGGACCAATCAACTAGAGTAGTACCTGATAGGAGTCCAGGTGATTGTCTAGGAAGATCCAAGAAGGAAGACCTCTGAATCAGCAAGTGTTATCAGAGGTACTTCTAGTATAGTTGACTCTTGAACAATGCAGGGTTTCAGTGTTGCCGGGTGAACTAGGGAGGCCCTGGGGCCTCGACCAAGCCTGTCCTGAAGGGGTTGCTGAAGGTTCTTGGTCTTGTCTCAAGAAAGAATTCAAGGACGGACACACAACACAGCAGATGAGTGACCCAGCAGGGAAGTTTATTAAAGCAAAAATTATACTCTTAAGATAGAGCAGATGAGCTTGAGAGAAAGAGAGAGAGCAAGCTTTGTGCCCTGGGGTTTGAGTTGCTGTCTTTTGTTGACGGTTGTTAACTAGGGGGTGGAATATTCTGGAGGGGCAGTTTCACTTTCCATTTGCCTGAGTTAAGAGATAAGCTGGGAAGAAGAGCTTAAGGAAAAATGTGGAACAAAGGTCAGTGAGTATAAGCAGGTGGGCAGTAAACGTCAGGTCTTGGGGTCTAGCTGGTGACAATATTACAAGCAGAAGAAGGGTAAGTACAGCACAATAAGATGTTTTGAGAGGGAGAGACCACATTCACATAATTTTGCTATAGTATATTGTCATGATCGTTCTATTATTAGTTGTTAATCTCTTACTGTGCCTGATTTATAAATTGAACTTTATCATAGGATTGTATTTATAGGAAAAAACAGTATATATAGGGCACGGTACTCCCCAAGTTTTAGGCATCCTCTGGGGGGGGGGTCTTAGAACATACCCCCTTGCAGAAGTGGGAACAACTGTATGTACATTTGGAAAGGACAGAGACTCGCCTGGAGATGCTTGCAACCTTGCGTGGCGACAGGCGACATCCCCAAGGGGATGGTCCCAGGTGAGCAGGAGTGGGTTTCCGTTGCAGGAGTCTGTGACATTCAGGGACGTGGCCGTGTTCTTCAGCCAGGACGAGTGGCTGCGCCTGGACTCTGCACAGAGAACCCTGTACCGGGAGGTGATGCTGGAGAACTACGACACCCTCGTCTCGCTGGGTAAGGACCTTTCCTCATGATGGAGAGTCTGCCGGGGGAGCATTGTGGGGCCCTCTTCGAGGAGGACCCGCAGGTGGGCTCACAGGGTGGCAGTTGCTCCCCCCGTCCACTGCCAAGAAAGGCCTTGGGTTGGTAGAGTCGGTGATGGGCAGCCTTTGTGTGCTTTTGCTGTTCTTTGTCCCCAAACTCTGTCCCTCTGGGTCTCATGAGAGGTTCCAGTTTGGAGGCGTGCACAACCAGCACCCTGACTTTCTTCCTGAGACCACCTCTGGCCATCCTCTAGGAGCCTAACCCCGCTAATGTCTGCACAGAGGACTCATTCTCTTCTTGTTCACCAACAGGAATCCTGTTTTCCAAACCAAAGGTCATCTTCCAGTTACAGCAAGGGGAAGACCCCTGGATGGTGGAAAATGGAGTTTCTCAAGGCCCATGTGTAGGTGAGTGACAATGATTGGGAAGTGGACAGAGCAGTTTCTCACTGCCTGGGTGCTGCTGATCAGGAGATGTTGAGCAGGGCCTGGGGAAGGCTGGGAAGGGCATTTCCTCTCTCTCTACCTTTCTGAGTCCTTGTTACGGCAGGTTCAGAGGGAGAGTTGAATTCTCCCAAGAAGGGCCCGCTTGTCTCCGATGTCCTTTGTAATGTGAATGCAGAAAATGTGACACCGTGTATAATGCATAAAGGTTTGTGAGTCATGTCTTCCCCTGTTTTTCTGGACTGATTATTTTCCTTTTTTTTAAAAAAAAATTTATTTAAATTCAATTAGGCAACATATAGTACGTCATTAGTTTCAGATGTAGTATTTCATCAGTTGCATATAACACCCAGTGCTCATCACGTCACATGCCCTCCTTATTGCCCACCACCCAATTACCCCATCCCCCCACCCTTCTCCCCTCCAGCAACCCTCAGTTTGTTTCCTATAGCTAGGAGTCTCTCATGGTTTTTCTCCCTCTCTGAGGACTTCCCACTCCTTTTTTGGACTGATTATTTCTTAAATTATCTTCCCTTTGTGGTTTGAACAAACCTTCTATCCCTACAGTACATCCGTCATTGTTCCAGCTTGGGTTTTTATTTGACTTTTTTGGTCTGCAACTTACTACATATGGTTCAGCTAACAAGAAAACGCACATGTGTGTGCACTTACATACTACACGAGAGCGAGAAAGCAGGGGTGGCAACATGGTGATAAATAGAATTTATGCAGAAGGTTCGCAGATATTCAACATGGCATTCTCCTAAATCTTTTGTGCGAAAATACTCAAAATAATATGTTCCAGACCCTCGCTGCTAGGACGTATCTCTCAATCTCTAAACCTCCTCTGGGTTGCTGGTCCATAAGCTCTCATTTGCTGTTCTGCTTTGTCTTTGTTTTTTCTTGTTCTTGTTGTCATCTCTGGGTTTTTTTTTTTTTTTTTGTCTTTGTTTGCTTTTGTTCTGTTTTGTCTTTGAGACACCAGAGGGTGGCTCTCTTCCTTTGAGTTTTGCTACTTATCCAGCATTTATTTCTCTCAATGGCAGGACACAGGCTTTCTGGGTCAGCTCAATCCTGTGTTTCCATTCATGAACTTTGTCTTCAGATTTTCCCCTTTGTTTTGACTAAAGTGTTTTCTTGAATAATATTTTCAGAAAGGTTCGTGTGTGCTCTATTTGTACATGTCTACAATCAATTCTTTTAGGATGCCTGGGTGGCTCAGTCGGTTAAGCGTCTGCCCTCAGCTCAGGTTGTGATTCCAGGGTCCTGGGATTGAGCCCTGCATCGGGCTCCCTGCTCAGTGGGGAGTCTGCTTCTCCCCCTCCCTCTGCCACTCCCCCTGCTTGTGTTCTCTTTCTCTCTCTGTCAAATATTGAAAACCTTTAAAGGTTTTAAAAATAAATAATAAATAAATAAAATCAATTCTTTTACCTCTCTGGTGAGAATTATGGATCTAGAATTCTAGCATCAATTTTTTTTTTCTTCACACTTGGCTGTAGTGACTGAGCATTGAGTGTTGTTGATAAAAAGTCCTCCATTAGCATGATTCTTTTTCCTTTATCTTCTGTGTAGAAATCTGGTCCCTCCGCCCCTTTTTTTGTCTTCTGTCTAGAATATTATCGGATATTTTCTTTATCTTTGGAATGCAGAAGGTTCATTAGGTTGTATCAAATACCAAGGAGTTTTGGTTTAATATTGTTATTTGGCATCACGGGGCCCTTTGCTTTGAAGAGCCAAGTCATTTTCACTTCAGGGATGTTTTTTTCTACTACATACTAACATATATTCTGCCACATTCCACCAACAATCCGAGGGAGCTAACTGTAAGAATAATGGTAAAATAAAATAGAAGTTTGGTTAGAACCTTAAAAAGTGAATATATCTGTGGTAAGCGCCAGCAATGTAGCCATGGGTGAGTCTCGAATTTGGCTCTGAGCTTTCTGGTTGGTAAAGAAATCATTAGTATCAAATTGACTTGTTCTTCTTTTGCAAGCGTTTGAAAAAAATTAACTACTTTTAATTAATACAAGGTATGTGTAGTATTGTAAAGAAAAAAAAGGGGGGGGAGGGCTCCTGGGTGGCTCAGTCAGTTAAGCTTCTGCCTTCAGCTCAGGTCATGATCCCAGGGTTCTGGGATCGAGTCCCACATCGGGCTCCCTGCTCGGCAGGGAGCCTGCTTCTCCCTCTCCCTCAGCTACCCCCCCTGCTTGTGCTCTCTTTCTCTCTCTCTGTAAAATAAATAAAATCTTAAAAAAAAAAAAAGATTCACCTGAAATTTTGCCAACCAACCATGATGAACCTTTGTTGATATTTTACTATTTGTCCTCTCAGATTGTATTTGAGTGTGTTTGTGCATGAGGGAGAGACACAGAGAGAGAGATTGATTATACAGACTGTTCTCAAACCTATTTTAAATTGTGAATGTCCTTCAGTTATTCAGCCCTCATTAAATAGAGGCCTGTGTCTCTGAAAGAGCTCTATTGTATTGTTAAGCCATATCTTATTAAATAATCTTCTGGAAATTTTAATTTCTAGTTTTTTTCCTGTTATTAAGATAGCTGAAGTGGCTCTATAATACAAAGGTATAATATAAAGAGAAACAGAGAAAAGGTCCAGAGAATAAATAATTGTAGTACAAAGGCATGAGTATAACCATTAAAAACTCAAGGAATGTGAATTTGAAAATTCACCCAGGATTCTTTGAAAGACGATTCAACTTCATTATAATCAGTGAATTACAAACTAAAGCAATGCGATGCCATTTTCCCCTTACTGTATTACCCCAAATTAAGAAATACATATCCAGTGTTTTCCTATCGCTCTGATACCTGAGTATCTTTCATAGGATGTTGATGGGTGTAATCTTTCTGCAGGATGGTCTGGCTTTATTAAAATCGATTCCAGGTTTGGAAGTTTATCTTAAGGCAATAATTCCATAATTGTGCAGAGTTGCAAAGGTGGTATAAAGAATGTTTGTTATAACATGAGGGATCACTGGGAAGAAGAAAGCTAAATGACTCTTAGAAGGGGATTTATTAAATTATGATTATGTTTGTGCTTTGAAATCTTACATTGCCATTAAAATGATGGTGTCAACCTTCATTTGTTGTCATGGAGAGAAGCCCACAGTTTTTTTGTAAGTGCACAGTAGGTAGGGGGAAGCGTAGTTTCAACCTATTTTTATTTTTTAAATAAAAGTGTTTTCTAATATCCAGAAAAATTCTGGTGAGCTAAATTCCACATCTAGCAATGATTATATTTGTGTGTCGTGTGTATGGCTAAACTCGATTTTCGTATTTATAGCCTTCTGTATTTTCTTTATTTTTCTTACAATGATTATATATCTCTTTTTTAGTTAAGAAAATAAAAACTCTTTAAGAAAATACATTCATTCTTTTTGAAGCAATGACACCATTCCTTGCACTGTGTTCTAAGTGATTAAAAAGTGGACTGAAAATTATTCTCAAGAATGTGCTCTTCCCCCAGTAGTTCCCATATCGTCACATGGCACCAGTCTCCATCGAGCTGCCCAGGCCAGAAGCTGGACATCATCCTCGAGTCCTCTCTTTCACGTACTCTGTACGTCCTATTCATAGGTGAAGGTACTTGTCATCTCTGTCTTCAGAACATCCCAAATGTGCCCCCCTCCACTGCCATGCCAGTGCAGACCGCCATCGCCTCCATCCAGTCCCCTGAGTGGCTGCTCTGCATCTGCCCACCCCGAATTACAATCCATTTGTCACACTGCCACTGTGATCCTCTTTAAACAGAACTGTCCTGTCCTTCCTAACCCGCAGTGATCCTCTGAAGAAATTCCAGATGTCCTCCTGTATCTTACAAGACCCTGCGTGACACGGCTCCTGCCTACTTCTTTGCCTCACCTCGTAACACTGGCTTGTTCCCTCTTGCTCAGGCCACACTGGACAAATCTGGGTTCCTGGACAACTCGAAGCTGACTCTCGCCTTATGTTCTTTCTGACTGGAATCCTCTTTACACCCACAGTTTTGCTTGGCCAGCTCTCATTATTTAGATCCCATCTTTAATTCTACTTCCTTATCACCCAGTTTAAAATGTCAGCTCGTTCACTCATACTGCACACCACCTTGTTTTTGTTTGTTTTCCTCATTCTTGTCACCCCCAGGACTCATCATCCCTAGTTTATTTGGCCACTTGGTCACTGTTAATACCCTGCTGCTAGAATGTAAACCTTGCAAAAACCGGATTCCTGTCTGATATGTTCCCCATACTCCTAATCTTGAGCTTTGCATGGCGGCTACTGAGTAAATAATTGCCTGAACAAGTGAGGGAATGGCCATCATAACACCGCACACAGCCCTCGGAGGAGTTCTAAAACAGCACTAATCGAGGCCCTGGGTTTCAGAGAGCTTTTTAAGACCCTCAGCTCTTCCACGTTTTACTTGTAGCTCCTCTGCAGTTTCCTCGTGAATTTACCTTGAGTGCACTGGTGACTGATGGAGGAGAGGGAGTTGAGGAATAACACAACCCGCTGAACTCAGAAGTGCTCTGTCCCCTGCTGACCCGAGCTTTTTCCTAGAGCGGGCCTGGCTGCCCTTGTTGGAGGAGCTTCCCTCGGAGTTCACCCGAGCTTTCCTCAGACCCTCTCCACCCAGGCACGTCTCCCATGCTGCTTCTTTCTCTTGCCCTTTTTTCTTTTTTTTTTTTTAAAGATTTTATTTATTTATTTGACAGAGAGATAGAGAGAGAGTACAAGCAGGCAGAGGGAGAGGGAGAAGCAGGCTCTCCGCTGAGCAGGGAGCCCAACACAGGGCTGGAGCCCAACACAGGGCTCGATCCCAGGACCCTGGGATCACGACCTGAGCTGAAGGCAGCTGCCTAACCGACTGAGCCACCCAGGCGCCCCATCTCTTGCTCTTTTTTCTCCCCATCCTTTCTGAAGAATCCAGGAACTATTTTTCAGCAGTCCTTGTATATTTTGGTGTCACTTTTCTTTACTCTCAGTGCAAGGGAGACTTACCCATTTTGTTTATTTTAGGTTGGGAGCGCTTGTTTGAAACTACAGTTTCTGAAGAAGAAAATCAGGAAGTAATGAATAAACTCCTAGGTGACAGTCCTTTTGATTTCAAGCCAGGGAAAGCCTATATAAATGAGGACAAACTAGAGAAGCAACAAGGCAAAAAGAACAAACCTTTCAGGAAAGTCTTAGTCACCATCAAAAACACCCACATGAGGGAGAGGAGCTTTACAAGTGTTGAGCTTGGGAAAAATGTCAGTCTGAAATCATCCCTTATTAGAAAACCCAGACTCGTTTCCAGAGGAAGGAAACCCCATTCCCAGCAGTATTCAGTTCTCTTTAAACAACTGGGAGTCAATACGGTGCGCAAATGTTACAAATGTAACCTCTGTGGGAAAATCTTCCTCCACAGTTCTTCCCTGAGTAAACACCAGAGAATCCACACCGGAGAGAAGCTCTACAAATGCAAGGAATGTCGGAAAGCTTTCAGCCAAAGCTCCTCTCTCACTCAGCACCTGAGAGTTCACACGGGAGAGAAACCTTACATCTGCGGCGAATGTGGGAAAGCCTTCAGTTTCACCACATCCCTCATCGGACATCAGAGGATGCATACCGGAGAGAGACCCTATAAATGCAACGAGTGTGGCAAGACATTTAAAGGAAGCTCATCCCTGAATAATCACCAACGAATTCATACTGGAGAAAAGCCCTATAAATGTAACGAGTGTGGGAGAGCCTTTAGCCAGTGCTCATCTCTTATTCAACATCACAGGATTCATACTGGAGAGAAACCCTACGAATGTAGTCAGTGCGGGAAAGCCTTTACTTCGATATCACGGCTAAGTAGACACCATAGAATTCATACTGGAGAGAAACCCTTTAATTGTAATGAGTGTGGGAAAGTATTCAGTTATCACTCAGCCCTTATCATACATCAGAGGATCCACACTGGGGAGAAACCTTATGCATGTAAGGAATGCGGGAAAGCCTTCAGCCAAAGCTCTGCTCTGATACAGCATCAAAGAATTCATACGGGAGAAAAACCCTACAAATGCAACGAATGTGGGAAGGCCTTCTCCTGGATTTCACGGCTTAATATACACAATAGAATCCATACCGGAGAGAAACCGTATAACTGTAAAGAATGTGGAAAAGCCTTCAGTTCTCACTCAGCGGTTAATACTCATCGAAAAATTCACACTGGAGAGAAACCTTATAAATGTAATGACTGTGAAAAAGCCTTCAACCAAAGCTCAGCTCTCATTCAGCACCAGAGAATTCACACTGGAGAGAAACCATTTAGCTGTAAAGTATGTGGGAAAGCTTTCCGACAAAGCTCATCCCTTATGACGCATATGAGGATTCATACGGGAGAAAAGCCGTATAAATGTAAAGAATGTGGGAAGGCTTTTAGTCAGAGCTCATCCCTTACCAATCATCAGAGGACTCATACTGGAGAAAAACTATAAATAAAACACATGTGGTGGAAAGTCTTCCAACTGAAGTTCATTCCATACTCAATTTCGAAAAATTCATCCTGGGCAGGAAGTGATGAAGAGTAGTTAATTGTGAGTTAAACTTCAGAATGTAGACCTTCTCAGACATCAGAGACTTCATGATGCAGGTAACATTAGGTGTATTAGGAAAGCTTCTATGAAATGGGTTTTTCATAGTTTTTAAGTTATTACTGACTATAAGGTAGAGAATGTGTAAGATTCTTTTATCTTCTCCCTGGTGATGTGCAGTAAGAGCCCCCAGCTTTCGCAAGCGTCCCTGGGAAGCGTGTTGATTTGTGTAAAAGTGTAGCCATAAAATCCAGACTTTAGATTAATCTAGGAATCTATTTTTTGAAACGACATTTAAGTGTTACGCAAGCCAGTTATCCTAAGAAGAATGTTTTGGAGAAGAAATGTAAGCAGGTGACCTGTAGCTACCTCACTGTCGCTAAAATGTGTTCTTTAATAGTTTAAAGGCAAATCGTGTACTTGGTGGTTGTGAAAACTTTTTGGATTGTTTCTTTGCTTTCCAAGCCATTTACCTGAAGAGAAAATCACTCTGTAAACTCTGCAGGCATACGGGCCTGTGAGTTTTCTCCCTGATGACTTGTTCCCAACTCTGAAGCAGATCTAAAGTCACTTTATTTTAAATCACAAAATGCATGGTATTTCACTTGGTTTTATCATAAAGTGATTACCTTTGCTGTGTGAGGTTGAGAATTAAAGGTTATTCAGACAACTACTGCTTTTGCAAGTTACTCCACTGATAAATATTAGTGATGACCTTACAGTGTAAGATGGGAACATGCCTCTTGGCACCCAAGGCTTTGCCTGCTTCATTGAGCTCCCTGGTTATCATGCAGGAAGGCCCAGGAAGAGTGTGGATCACCATTCGTCCTAGCTGCTGGTAAAGTGAACCGGGTAACTTTCACTCCCTCCCACAGTTTGAGGGCCATGAGACAGAAATTCAGACTCCAAGTTCAGTAAATGGGCTGTTAGATGCTTCAACAAGTTAGCACGTTTCAGCATTTCTAAAATGTGAATAATAATTCGGCAATGTAAAAAGTTATCTCCCAAGTCAAACTAAAATTGTTGAACTTTATGGAAGCAACATTCTTTAGTGTTGTCCAGTATCATCAAGAGTGGGCAAGCACTAAAGGACTGAACTACCTATTTTGTTTAAAAAAAAAAAAACAACAAACAACCTGTTTCTTTCTCTTTGTCAAAGAGTTAAAAAAATAATAAAAATACCTCAGAAAAGGTACTATTGGGGGTGGAGACTGAGCTAAAGCAAAAATCACTGAATTCAACTTTTGCTTCCTGGGACCAACTAATCAGTCTTACTGTTCCAGACTCATGAGGAACAGACTTTTGAGTCATGTAATCCTCCACTGCTATGCCTTTTTCCCCCACAACCATTCTTTTAAGTTCTGTAATTTCTGGGAAAATTTCTAGGAAAATATAACTTCCCTGTCTTAGTCCACTTAGGTTGCCATAATAAATACCACAGCCCTGGGTGGCTTATAAACCACTGAAACTTACTTCTTAAAATTCCAGAGGCTGGGAAGTCCAAGATCATGGCGCCTGCACGGGTGTGTTCTGGTGAGGATCCTCTGGTTCCTAGCTGGTGCCTTTTTGGAACCTCACATGGCGGAAGGGGTGAGGGAGCTCTCCGAGGCCTCTTATGAGGGCACTGATCGAATTCATGAGGCTCCACCCTCATGACAGTCACCTCCCAAAGGCCCCACCTCCTAATACTATCACCTCTGGGGTTAGGGTTTCAACACGAATTTTGAAGGGGCACACATTCAGACCATTGCATCTCCAAGTAACAATATAGTCCTAAAAATAATCCCCCCAAATAAATCTGAATAAAGTTACACGAAGAAAATATCAAGCCCAGTTATTTTTACGTTGCAGTCTCTCAAACTTGCAAGTAACAGGCCATTTGAGTCTTATGCAGGATCTTCCAGAGGAGATCATGTACAAGCACAATGATTCCAATATAACCCAGTACCAAAATTGACAAGGAAAGTACAAGAAATTAAAAAATGCGGGCCTATATCATCCATGAACAAAAATGTAAAAACCCTAAACAAAGCAAATGTAATCCAGAAGTACCTCAATATAGTTAATGCATCATGATAAATGCAGATTTTTCATGGGAATTGGCGGGTTATTTAGCATTAGGAAACTTACAGATGCTGTGTACCACCTGGGCAGGTTAAAGGTGCAAAATCCATATGTTCATCTCAGTAAATGCAGGCAAAGCAACCACAATACTCAGCACCCATTCATTTAAAAATTCTTAAGCAGAGGAGATAGTTTACTTAACCTGGTAAAAGGGTTTTTACCAGAAACCTGCTGGAAAAAATATTAATGTTAGAAGTAGTCATGGCAGGAGGAACATACGGAAAGAACAGATTATTCAATAATAAATAATGGCTGAGAAAAAATGGTTCATCCACATAGAAAAATTGGATGCCTACCATGACCACAAAAAGAATTGTGTGAAAGGCAAAATTGTATATCTTTTGGAAGAAGATGTAAAGAAAAACTTTGTGACCTCACGATAGGGAAAGGATTTTTTTAAACAGGATACAAATAAGCCATGAAATCTTTTTTTATATTTGCTCACATTAAAAAAAAAGAACATCTGGTTATCAAAATATACCAAAATGAAGATGAAAAGTCAAGACATAAAACAGGAGATCTTTCCACAACATTTTTGACAAATGCTTACCATCTGGAAAATTTAAATACTTTGTACATATCAACTTAAAGAAAAAAAAGACAACCTTGTAGGAAAAAAAGTGGTCCAAATATACATGACTACTTATTTCACAGAAGAGGAAATACAGATTTTTAAAAACATGAAAAGATGCTTAGAAATGGAAATTAGAATCACAGGATTTTATGAGATTTTATGACTTTTTAAATAGACCTTATTTTTTAAAATTTATTTTTGATTTTTAAGTAGGCTCTATATCCAACGTGGGGCTTGAACACACGATCCCATGATCAAGAATCACACACTTCACTGACGTAGCTAGCCAGGCACCCCAAATTTCATGGGTTTGTTTTGTTTTATTTTAAGATGAGTAAAAACAAAGATGTGTGACATTACTGAGTTTTGAGATGTATGTGTAGTAACTGGAATCCATCACTGTGGGAGTGTAAATTGATAGAGACCATCGGCATCCTATAAAGTTGAACATGTCCTATGTATATATGATAGATAAATGTGTGCATATGAGCAGTAAGAGACAGGTATATAAAGATATTCTTAGCAGCACTGATCATAGAAGCTAATGTTTGGAAGTAGTCTGAATGTTAATAGGAAAACGGAGAATTTTGGAATGTTAACAATGTAGAGCAGCAGGGAGAATGAACCAAAGCCATAAGCAAACACAGATGAATTTCAAAGCCTGTTGACTTTTCAAAAGTCAGAGGAAACAACATATGGTATAATATGTTCTGCAATATTAAATTGATTCTGAGTGATTTATACATGTGGTAAGATACTAAAAATAGCAAGTGGTTGAATGACAAGATAGTCTAGCTATCCCTTCCTGTGTAACAACTCATCCCCAAGTTTAGTGTCTTAAAGCAACAATTTATTAATGCTGTTGGTTCCATATTTGGGTTCAGTTGGGGAATTTGTACTTGGCGTCTCTAATGCATTTGCAGTGGGCAGCTGCCGCTCCTCTGAGCTTGGTGTCCAGGGTGGCCGGCACCCAGTGATGGCCGCTGCTGAGAGCCTGGTTGGGCTTCACACAGAAGGGTGGCTGGTTCCTGAGAGGCAGTGTCCCAAGAGCCAGCATCTTAGAAGATCTACATTGAAAGTGTAGATCTTAGAACTCCTCTTTGGAAGCCACATGACATCAATTCTGTATTCTCTTGGTGAAAAATGATTTACAGATGTCCAGATTTCAAGGGGAGAAGGTGGTAACCAGGGTGTGAATACCAGGGTCGTGGTTCGTCATGGGGACCATATTTGGAGACTAGCTACCATACGACCACACAATTCAGGTTGGTGATTACCTCTGGCTGTGAGGCAAGAAAGTGACTTGGGGAGGAGCCCGGGGTTCCTCAGCTTGCCTGATGCCTGAGAGACCCTGCCTTCTCAGGAAGAGGTTGCCCAGGCCAGCCAGAATGAGGATTAGTAGGAAGGCCAGTGTGTGTATCAGTAAAAGTGATTAGAGTTTTTTGGCCCAAGTCTAAACTGGGTCATTTGAGGTAGGATAAAACAGGTCTTACTGCCTGATCACCCTAGGTGAAGTGCATATCAAGTTTAAGAGGTTGTATCCAAGGGCCATTTCAAGGTCATAACATTTTTTTTTTTTTAGAAGGGAGTGAGAGAGCAGAGGGGGGCAGAGGGAGAGGGAGAGAGAATCTCAAGCAGACTCCATGCTCAGCGTGGAGCCAGACTCAAGGCTCAAAACCCTGAGATCATGACCTGAGCCGAAACCCAGTGTCAGGTGCTCAGCCAACTGTGCCCCCAAGGTTATAACATTCTCAGGCCACTGTTGAATTTAAACACGTCTCCTTAACAAAACTATCAACACCTCCCTTTCCTGTGTATACTTTCCCTTCTCATTCATCTCCCTAGATCACCAGAAGAAGAGAGATTGGTTTCTACCCTGAGTCAGGAAACAAACTTAAACTCAAAACATGTGCATAAGAGGACTAGGCAAAGAAAGACTCATCATTGAGTTGTGAACATATTCGCCTTGCCTGGTTTCTCTTATTCTCAAAGAGGCTTGTTCAGAATCTAGGCAGAAGAGAATACTGTCCATTTTTATAGCTTCCTGATAGGCCATTTTCGAAACAACCTGAAAAAGAATATGCTTTACCTTTTGTGATATGATTGACATGCCTGATACATTGAATTTATGGTGTTCATAGTAATTAAATTATTATTTAAAATGTCCACCTTTTCAGGTGGGTTCGGCCCTTCTCTTGTT